GTCGGGCGTCGGCGTGTCTGCCCGCCGCCTGTCTGTCATTCCGCCCCACCGCGGGCAGGACTCGCTTTCAGGGGGACCTGACTGCGTCCGGGTCTGTCTGCCTGCTCTCTACTGAGCAGGGCTCTCGCTCTCTGCTTTTCGGGCCCTTCTCCGCTTTGAACTCTCGGGGCTATTGCGGGACAGGCGAGGGGCAGAGGTGGGAAGAGAGGGAGCGGGAGAGAGAAGAGAGGCCCCCGCGGCAGCAGAGCAGCCCGGGCCAAGTGTCCAGCTCCGACGGCTTGGCGAGGGCGGGGGCGCAAGCCCGGGACCGGCGGGAAGAGCCGACCCCGCCGGGTGCGCACGGAGCCGCTGCGGGGCACGGAGGCTCCGGTGCCGTTGCCGAGAGGCTTCGCGGTGATACGCCGAAGAGCACAAGGCGCGGGATCCGGCCGGCGACCGTCTGTGCGCACCGCCCGCGGGTGCGCGCCTGGTTAGGCTGTGCGTGCGCCTCTGCCCGCGTCTGCCCTAGGCCTGTGCCGGTGGCCCGTCACAGAAATGTCTATGTGTGTGAGTGTCGTCCACCCCGGGCTGGTCAATGAATGTGTCCCCTGCGGGCCCATCTGTAGGTGCGGCCCCGAAGGAGGGGGTTTCAGCCACTGATAAACATTTTTAAAAATTCACCAATCGTCCGAAAAAAAATCTGTGAAACGAAATCTCGAGGCATGGGCTCCGGGGCTGTCGCGCTCCTCACGGCTCTTCGGGTCTGCGCTCTTCGCTCCTCGGGCTCCGCGTGGAGCCGCGGGCCCGGCAGACACGAGCCCCCCTCCCTCCCGTCCCCAGACCATCGAGAACATCAAGGTGGGCCTGCACGAGAAGGAGCTCTGGAAGAAGTTCCACGAGGCGGGCACCGAGATGATCATCACCAAGGCGGGCAGGTCAGCGCTGGGAGACTCACTTCCGGGGACGGCGAGTGGGAGCCGTGGGGGCCTTCCTTAGAAATCCTCGCGGTCCCGGCCTGGGGGCTATGGGCGTCCTCTGTGACTTGGGGCCACATCCTTCTCCAGCCCGGACTGGCCGCCGAACGCTGCGCGGGGCTCACCCCGCGGCGACGCCCGCGGGGCAGGTGGAGGGAGGGGCAACGCCATGCAAATGAAATGCAAGAAAGGACCGCGACGCCCCAAGTCTCGGCTCCGGCGTTTTTGGCCCCCGGGGGGGGGATGCTTTGTCCTCCCCCCACTGGGGACCTGCAGAGGTTTCTCTGGGTTGCACTGATTGGGGTCCCGGAGATGCCCCTCAGCAGATGGGGAAAAGGGAACGAGACGATGCTGTTCAATTTCCGGAACCTTCCGGGAGCCCCAAGTGCTTCCCCCCACGGGCGCCGCTCCTCTGTGCCCAGCCTGGTCTTTGGCCAGCGGGAAGGCACCGCCGCTGGGCTCTGTGTGTGTGTTGTTGGGGAGCAGCTCTCAGGTGGCTGCCAGAGAAGGATGATTTATAAAGTGGAAACATCTTTAAAATGCGCTGGTGTCTGTGGGAGAGAACAGGGAGGAGAGGAGGAGAGGAGGAGGAAGCCTCACACCGGGGATGCGGGAGATTCGCTGGGGCGGCGAGTCTGGGTGGGGCGCGAATGGCGGAGAGCGATTATCAGGTGAAGGCGGAGGGCTGCAGACAGAGACGCCGGAAAGTTCAGGTTCCGGAGTCCCTCTCCACTCACTCTGCCCCCTCCACATTCACACACTTGATTTTGGGTCCCAGGGACAGGGTAGGTGTGAAAATGCCCCTTTGCCTGAATGTGGAATTCCTTCAGAGGAGTAAGATGGTGAAGCATCAAGGACCAGGGACTTGGAGTTAGACCATGGGGGGAGGGGTCGGTTCCAACTCAGCCACTTCCATCTGAGGTGCAACCAACCCTCAGACAGAGAAGGAAGGGCCTCTGGCCCCAGCCCACTCCATCTGCAAAGGAGCAGGTCCTGCTTCGTGCAGTGGTATCCAAGCACCTAGCACAGCTCCTGGCACACGCAAGCACACTTGAAATGTTGGCTAATATTATTAATAATTAGAGAAGTGTCTGGCACACACTCAGCGTTTTCCTCTACTTTGTAGAGAACTCAGCTCTGCAGAACCGCTTAGGGAATGCTGGTTGTTTGCCGTGTGCAGTGCAGGGGTGCTGTGATCCTTCGGGTCTCTGCTCACTGGTAGGCCTTGGTCACCCTTACATCTTAGCCAGGAAAGTGGCACTGCTACCCAGGACTTCTATCAGGGAAGGAAGCAGGGTGGTTTTAGGGCTGAGTTTTCTGCATTTTGGAGATAGAGACGGGGAAGAAGGATGCGTTGGGGGGTGCCACACGGAGGGGTCATTGAGGACAGTGGGGGCCAAGTGTCACAAGCGCTGCCTCTTCCTAGCTTAGTGCACTTGGGCAAGTCGCAAAACCTCCTTGTAGCTCAGTGGGTGTTGGGTAAACGGAGACTGTAGACCTACATGCTCTCCTTTTTTGATTGCTGAGAGACTCAAATCAGGGGATCATGTGAATAGTGCCTGGTAAATTTTCAAGTGGATTACAGGTGTGAAGAGGGGAGTTTATTTCTTGTGCCTGCTGGAGTGGAGGGAAGGAAAGAAGAAAGCGAAAGGTTCAGAACTTCCATTTTTAGGCAGCAGAAACCACCTTGTCTCTTGAAAATAAATGGCAAGCATGTTCTCTGGGCATGCCTGGCCTCTGTCATTTTAAACAGAAGGCATTTTGTGGTTCTCCTCAGTGGGGTTTCCCGCATCTGTGTGGGTCCTCCTCCCTCCCTCTCCCCAACACATACACTCACACACGCTTCCAGAGGTGACCGGCTTTAGGCAGATGTTTGTGCCTGATCCTAGTGGAGGCTTAGAGAAGGACCTTGGGGAATGATGATAATAATTTAAAGTGACTATGATGATGTTGGCCAATTATGGATTCATCAAAGCCTTTCATTTCTCTGGCAGAGAGTTATCCACACACCAGATCTAGTCCTTAAGGAAGTCTCCAGTCTCACCCTCCCAGCACCTCGCCCCTCAGTTCTCACAGACCCCATTTCCCCTGCATAACTGCCTGCCGTCTTCAGATACCACTTTAATTGCTCTGATCACTGTGTACCCCTCCTTTTCCTCGGCTCCATCACAAGAGCAGCCTCTGGATGCAGCTTGCTTTGCTGGACTGTGGTTCTCCAACATCCTGTCTGGTGCTGCTCTCTGCACCCCAAATTCTACTGGAGCCCTTCTTGGGACACTTCCATTTCTCCATCAGGACTTTTCTCCTGAACCTTGAAGCATAGATTCCTGGACTGCTAGAGCTAGAGGAGAACCCAGAAGACATAAACCAAACCCCAGAGCAGGGAAGTTAGGCAGTTGCCAGGTCTACACAAGCCAAACAGATGATGCACTCCACTCCCAGAACAAAACCCCGACTTTGATAAATTCCCTTGATTGCTTTTTTACAGGGCCCTGTTCAGTGTGGATTGTCGCTCTGCCCGAGAGACCTTGGCTGATTAGGGACATAACTGCTGTCTGGTTGGGGAGCAACAGGCCCTGGGGAAGGGAGCCAGAATGTTCTAAAGCCAGTTTGAGATCTTGGGTCACAGGCCTCCTGCTTCAGCCCTTTCAGTCTTTGAAAGTTTGAAGAATCCTTGTCATCGCATAGTAACCTTGAGTTGCCAAACAGTTTGATCTGGTGAATAAAATGCCAACCGCAGTGTGAGGAACCGATTTCTGAGTGTTCAGGAGTCCCCTACGCCCCATGTTAGGTGTAAAATGGAGCAAAACCCGTTCTTAGCCAGTCTCTGCCCCTCTTAGGCTCTGACAACCAGAGGGTTTTGCTGATAAATGCAGAGAAGACCCCTCTCTTGGCCTCCTTGTATCCCTGCCAACCTTGATACATGTGAGAAACTGCATTTTCTCCCAAACATAGATAAAAGTGGGCTCCACAAAAATTTAAATATAAACCTCCCCAAAATGAAAATTTCCTAACCATCTAACTGCCCTAGTCCTAGGTCATGGTTTTGCCACCAGATAAATCTCCGCTATCAGCCTTCATAGCCTGTTGAGTTCAATGTTGCTTGTGTTAGTGACAGTGAATTTGCGTTTGAAAAATGAACTACCGATGAGAACTCCTGTTGAACCTGTATTGTTTGTTATTCTGAGGCAAGGATTTGGCCCGGCTTAATCCGGGGCTTCAAAGCCAATTGCCCTCACTCTGTATACACAGCGTCAGAGCCCAGTGGCGTGGATGATAAGAGAAGTAAGGGTTGAAGACACTGGGAAAGTGGGTTGGGGAGAGAGTGCTTTGATCTCTTTTTAAAGTATTTTCTGAAAGCAAAAGTCTATCAGAAGGAAGTGCCTTAAAAAAAAAATCTAAGAGAAGCAACTGATCTTCCAAAACAACATCCATTCCACACACCCTCACCCATGCTCCTCCCCTCAGGGAAAATATTTCTTGAAGATGTTTTGGGTGACTTAGACAACTGTGTGTGTATGTGTGTGAAAACTGGAAATCAATTTAGTGGCTTTGTCATATCTCTCAGAAGTCATTTGGCTATAAAAGGCTTGGTCTCAGTACAGGCAGCATCAGCACCCCCCACCCCTACCCCTAACCTGGGTTGCTGGTCCCTGGTCTCTTCCCCGTACACCCAGAATTCATCCTGAAGACCCCAGGACACAAAAGAGAGGGTTTTCTGTGGACCCCACCCTTTTCCTTGTGACGATTCTTTCCAGACTCTAGGCTCCAAAGTGTGTGTATGGGGGGGGGTGTGCGCGCGTGCATGCACACACACACCCACCCACCATTTTTAACGTAGATTTTATTGAAGTGGAAGATTCCCGCAGAGCTGTGCCCAGGCCCGAAGTGCACAGCTCTATCCCTGCACAAAATGAACACACCCAGGTAACCTTCATCCAGATAACTTGGAACGTGATCTGCTCCCGAACCCTCCTGGGTGCCCTCCCCGTGGCCATTCTCACCCTGAAGCGGTCCCCCAGACTCCTCACCCTGCGATCTGGCTTTAGCCCACACTGTAGAAGGCACGTGTAGCTGCTCCTGGAGTCCCGGGGACCCCGGCAGAGTCTGGGCTGCGAAGGGCTTGTGGCTTGGGGGCCCCTCCGGGCAGAGAGAGCCTGCGGGTACCCAGGCC